GAGATAATATTTGTGATGTATCATCAATTGAAGAGATGAAGATGATTCTGTCATTATGAATTGATTGAATGAAAGTAATGCAAGATTGGAGTTGAGTGTGAAAAACAACATAATCATTGATTTGACGTAGTTGTTTAATTGTTTGTTCTAGATGAGTATTGGAATTGATATTTGAGTCGAACCAAATCAAAGTAATATCCTCTTTATTGTTAGTTGTATTCATTGTTTCTAATGAATTTTTCATGATAAATGAATGTGTTGCAGTGGATGATAGAGATATTAAGATAGTTGTTCAATGGAAATGTCACTAAGACACTTGAATAATAAGACGATCGATTTTATATCTTGCAACAATGAAAAAGCTGTATTATTTCATAGCGCAAAACAAAATGTCAGTGTCCAAGTCATTCACGGTGCCATCGGCATCAGTGGATTTTCTTGACTTCTAAGGGGCTTCTGACTAGAATTATCCTTTCATATTTTTGAATGAGTAAGTCTATTCAGAAATGAGTTGACAGTGGAAAGAAATTTGTCAGAGGCATAGGCAGTGCAATTTTGTTGCAATAAATCAATTTTTCCTAAACTTTCAGGAAAGACCTGCGTGGTGGTTCATGTTGCAATACATGTCCTGAGAAAAAGACAACAATCTCAGTTATTATCTTAAATATTTCATCATCATGATAAAGTCACATATTAGAACAGTTTCTAGATGATTTGAGAGTACTACAAATGTAACTTTATCATGATGATATTTTCAAGAAAACAACAGGAAATATTTTCGTTTTAAAGTATGTATTTGCAAACAAAAAAAAATAAGAAAGACAAGTTTGAGAGTACGATAGTCAGAGACTCAAGCATTTTGGACAATTATTTCTAGTATTTCTACGATAATTAGTATGTCAGTGAAAATATAAGAAAGTTACTAAAATCAGTCACATTCTTGAAAATAGCATTAGATAAGGCTTGCTCAAGAAATCGAAATGTACAGGATTTGGATCGTAAAAAAAAACATCGATACTTGCTCATGTAAAAATGAGTAAGTAAAGCAAGAAAAAAGTAATTATAGTTATCTCCTCATGTGACTCTATTTCCCATTTAGAATACGACTAGTAAAATGAGTAAGTAATGATGTTTAAATAAGCACAATGATGAGCTATGTGACGCATATATGATTGAAAGGAAGTGACTGTTTTCTTTTCCAACTACAATGTGTTTATTTGTGTAGAAGAAGTATCTCTTGTCTCAAAATGTGAATAGTCTACGTAATAGAGATGCGTCACGCTACTGATTCTCTTTTTTTTTTGTTCTGTTTTTGTGCAGTATCAATCCTTTCTCCTTCTTTTACTCATCTTGCACATTTATGTGCATCGTGATTTCCTTTAAACGCATGACGATACATATTTGTGAGCAATCCATTTCTTCCTAGAGTTTAAAAAGAAAACAGTTAAGAATTTTTAGTTTTGATTAGCTAATCAGACGAGAAATTAATCAAACTATCCAAGATTGTTTGAAAAGATGCTGATTATTATTGTTTTGAGTGATTGGCGTCGTTATTGTAGAGCATACAAGTTTCATGTGTTTACGAGATATTTTTGATTGAACTTTTATAAAATAGAAACACTCTGCTAACCGTAGCTTGATCTTTGAATTCAATGGTGTGTTATAAACTAAAACCAAATGTTAACAATAATTCATGTTCAATCGATTCTATGATCGAATATGCTAATCCATAATGACAACAAAGTGCACTAGAGCATATGAAAATAACTGCTTGAGACTCACTGTTTGAAAATTTTGTTGAATAATCTACAAAGTCTAAAAAATGAGCACATGTAATGTTCACTTTTGTGTGTCACACATATTTTTTTCTCATAGCGACCAGGAGTGATTTGACTCTTCCTGTTGTATGATTAACTCGTTTGGTTCAAACAAATAAATTTATCGACAATCATTGAAGCGTGTTATTGAATGTTTATTGGTAGTTTATGATGAGTATCTTAATTTTGTAAAATATTCTCAAAATCCATCCATAATGATCCTTTGTCTTGCACAATGTATTTATCAGTGTTGATAGCAGGTCTAATATATTTATTGCTTGTTACTTAGTTTTTACAAACGACAAGGAATCAATTCAAAATTTCTTATGTAATCACAAAATCATGATAGTCAAAAAGTAGAACTTTTAAGAAAACAAGATGAGATATTCAAGGAATTAAATAATGTATATGTATCTGTGTACAAAGAGGTGTAGGTGTGGATGTCAGTCTAGCTGTGAAAAATATTTTAGAGGTATACCGTTGTTTTCTCATAAAAATTCTGGAGAGCAACCCTCCACGATCTTATCGAAATAGCCAACCAGCGTTATTTCAAAATTTATGTTTTATTTTCTTTTATTCGTCATCACTGTGATATTTCTTCAATCGAAACGTATTTCATTCATTAAAAAGTATCTCACATATTGATTTTTGAGAAACCAAATTGATATAAACGATCAGAACATGATATTTCTTTGTGAGGATTGGTAAAAGCTTAAGTGAAAAAAAGGAAGTGAGTGTTTTGTGAAGTCACTTGGATGAACCAATTCATAATGATTCGACTGATCGGTCAGTTTATGTCTGTTTCATCATCTTGGCAGGCTTCAACTCTAAAAAAGCTTCTATTTTTATTATTCGAAGCCTTGCAACAAGGTTGAGAATAACACTTATTGCAATATAAGTGGTCTAGGCAAGACAAACGTAAAACTCTATAAGCATTCAGAACTATATTGTGCTTCTAATATCAAATCGACAACCTGGAAAAGTTTTGTGTACTCGTCGATTTTTACCGATCGGAAAATATTTTTAGATTGGCGGAACTGAATAGGTCTAATATTTTTTGATCGATTACGACTAAGTGACAGTCACACCCGCATCCTACTTATAATAAGTAAATTTCATTCATTTTGTTTTGTGTTTGCTTTTAGAAGAGAAAAACAAAAGGAATTTTTTTAATCATAAATGAATGTCGGATTTCTATATTGAATGTTGTATTTCTTAGTTCGATTGAATGTGCAGATGATATATATATATATATACACGTATGTATATATACGACGTTATTTAAAAATCATATGAACGGTGATTGATGAAGCCATCACCATGGCAAAATTTCTGAAATAAGTTCTACCTGTTGCATACTATTCAATTGTTGAATCTATTTCAGCTGCTGTCACTATGACAGAAATATAAATACTTAAATTACAAAGTTTTTCTTTCTCAATAATGGAATTTTTCTCTTCTTCTTGTAAATACTTTTGTCTTATATATACCAGAAATACTAAAGTGAAAGATAATATTTCCAGAACTCGTTCCAAAGGCGAAATCAATTCAAGTTTTGAAAGAAGATACTGTTATCGATTTGTATATAACAAACTATTCGACATAAAATATTTTTATCGACGATAATTTTCTCTCTTCTCCTAAAACAAAAAGATCTACTGTACAGGCATAAATAAATTTATAAGGAAAGGTCCCCAAATAAAAAATTTCTTTCAAGCTGCAACGATATTCAATTGTTATGACTTATTAAGTAAGTAAGTACTTCAAATTGGGGCGAGCTGTTGCATCTTTTTTATTAAGATTTCAAACTTTTGGTGGATTGTTTCTGTAAGATCCCATTTTTCAAGTGAAATCATACTTTTAAGTTTTGATCTGCAACTTTACACACATAAAAGCATCGATGAGACTGGCTTATAACAAATGTTTCAAAATTATTTCCCCGAGTTTCTCCAATGTATCAAGTTTTCAAATCTAGATGCATAGCCATGATTATCGTAAAAAAAATAAATATTTTGAAAAAATTCATATCTTGGAAATGATTGGTCAAAAATTCTGCACTTTTTTCTGCAAGCGACTCTAATCTATGCCTTTATGTGGGCAAAATTCTAGGTCAAAATTCAAAATTATAGTTTCAGTGAAAAACTAGGGTCCTACATGAAAATCCATCAAAAGTTCGACATTTTAGTAACAAAGATCCAACAGCTCGAATCAATCTAGAGTATTTACTCACTCAATATACTCTATAGATTGAAAATAGTTTCAGGTTAAAAATGATTTGTCACTTCGAAATCTTTCCTCTTCAGTAGAAACACTAGGCAAAGCCAAGTCAGAAATTTGTCAATATTGCACTCAAGAAGACATTTTCTGAATTCGAAAGTTTGGTTTGTTGAGAGAAAGATATGAAAATAAATTATGTATGTCAATATTTGATTGATTTATCTATAATCTCAGCTATTATTGTTTTCATTTTTGATCATAGGATTTCTGAATGATTTATGTACTTTTTCCTGTTGTTAGTACTTGGAGAAACGTCCAATCTTTGCTTATTACTATATGTTGCTAAATAGATAATAAATTGTTATCTTTATCTTTTCTTTTGCAAATTAAAGGACGACAAATGACATTGACAACGCGAGAAGTTAGATAACAAACAAAAAATGTATGTTCGTTTATAATAATCAAACTCGTAGTCAAGAAAGAACACCAAACAAGCTCTTTAAAAAAATATTCTATTGCAAAAAAGCTAAGAAGCTTAACAAAAGCACATTTTTACATAAAAATAAAAAGATAAAGGATCAGTAATTAATTGAACTAAGTGCTTGCAGTTGACGAAAGGATTATTAGTACATAAAAAATAAGATTAACTCAAAATTTATTCAAACATAATCACTAATTTTAAATTTAAGTTGTTTTCTTTTTGAAGAAAAAAAAAAGGAATAAATATATTTATGTATATGTATATATATTGTTAATATTTCTCTTTTTTTTAGGAAACGATTATTATTTTTAGGATAACAAACATATTCATAAATAAACACTTTATCTTCTTACAACAGTAATGCTAGTGCTGTTATCTCGTCGTTTTCTTTTTATTTATTTATGAAGATTACATGAATAAAGAAAAAAAAGCAGTTAAAAAAGAATGAAAATATATGTGAATAGAGAATTCAAAAAAAAAAGAATTTAGTCACTGTATAAATTTGATGTAAAAGGTTTATTTAAACGATGCTCATGACGTTGTAATAGATCATAATCTGGATATGGAGTATGTGTTGGTGAAACCAATGATCCATATCTAGCAATAGGAGTTTGTTTAGTATAGTTAACTGATGGCTGATCATCATTGTCTCTCTCATTAACGACTATATTCGAAAAATAATCATAAACACCTCGAAGACGACCATGTTCTGAATAAATCTTTTTTTGAATAAATTCTTCATCGTACTCATCCATATTGATATGAAGATTACTTTTTGGAGCATCTTTTTTAATCCATGGCAGTTGTGAATCTTCAACTTTTTTGCTATTGTCCTGGATTCCTCGGTGACAATAAGGACACATGAAAGGCTGATTGTTGTTTTGATTCAGTGTTGTGACAGGTTGTCTGTCTGTACTTTTAATATTCTTTCCGGATGGAGTTCGAGATTTTTGTAAATGTCTTGGTGATGCAGAAGATGATGTAGTCGATAAGTTGTGTGTTTGGTTTTCATTAGTACCACCTCCAAAGTCTTCACTAACGTCTTCACTAACGTCATCATTATCACTCTTCTTTTTTTTAGCTAACAAACATATATCCAGAAATAAATTTATAAAAATATCAACTAGATATACATACAAGAACTCTGATGGTGCGTGTCGTTGGATGAAGGATTCATTTGTCCTGCATTTCTTGTTGCAGATTGTGTTGATGGTGGATTATTTTGAACTGGTGTTGATACATGAATACTTGGTGTTGATCTTTGACTAGCACTCGGTGTTTGTGCGGGACTATCAATTGATGATTGTGTAATACGACGTGGTAGTACTTGATTTTCATTTGAAGATACTGTATTTCGCGTATGTGGTTCTTCTAGATCTTCTGATGAAGACGCATTTGATCCATCCGATTCAGATTGAGTATCACTTTCTGGTGAATTTGATGTCTGTTTTGAATTTCTACTTTCAGTTGTTGCTGGTCTCTGTTCTTCTTTTGATTTTCTTTTCGAACCTCGACTTCCCATGTCACTTTCGTTTCAAATTCTTTACACAAATAAGTTTATAGAACTTGCAATAAATGTGACTATTATGAAAGTTGTTGTTTATCAATGTTTAATGGAAAAGATAAGAATAAAGACAAATAGATGTTAAAGAACCACTTGTTCTAGACGACAAAAAAAGATAACGTAATAATGAATAATAATGTTATTGCATTTATATAATAATCTTTTCTTTTCTCCATGAAGAGAAAAATCTATCATACTGATATGTTAATTTATGTATACTTCTTAAAGCAAATCTATTTGATCAATATAGGTTGTGATAATAAAGCTATTATCGAGATAAAAGATTAATCCATATTGGTTTAATCTGTTCAAAGGAAAGCTATGATAAACTCATATAAAATCTAAAGTCTTGAGTCTTTCGAAAGAGATCGAAGTTTATTTTTCAACAAAACACAGTCAATCATGATCGATTTTTCTTTTTATTCGAAGAGATTAAAAAAATATATCAAAAATAAAAATCGATCGATCAGACACTCTTGTTGGTGATGGAAGGGTATGCGTGTGTGAAAGAAGAAAAAAATCACACCCTTAAAAAACTAGAGGTTTGACTTTTTAGAGACTTCTTGATGGCTATTGTAAATCTTACCATGTCTCATTTATTTAGATTTCATGAAATTTACAGATGGCATTAACATCAATGATAATGATAATCGTCATTATATGTAATACAGTACGTTCTCATCATATGTCTTTCTTTTTAGTAGGAAAATATGTTTTTAAAATTCTAACTTAGATTTTCCTAGCTTTCAATTTTGTAGCTCATTATTTTTAGAGATGCAGTATTGCAAAAAAAAATTTCTTTTTGATTGATTGATCGATAGTTTATGGAGTTCCCTACAAGCCATTTTCCCAAAGTTTTTTAATTCCATGTTTTATTTATTTTCTCAAATCGTTCTGCACATGTTCACTTAAATTCCAAAGAGGTAGATAAAGAATTCAAGTGACGGACAATGTCTGATGTGTACTGTTTGATAAAACCTATTTTTTAAATTATTTCCATTTAGATCTTGATTAAATGGGTATTGGACTTGTAGAATTAACTTGAATGCTTCTATGTGGTGCATTTTGATTCCAAGAATTAACTATTTCAATTATGTAAAACTATTGTATCGTAGACAATTTGATATTTGAAATATAACAAGTTTAAAGTATATTTAATGTCTCTTTATCGTTTCCTCACTAGGAGAAGCATCTAACTATCTAATCCTTTGTTTCACCAAATGTCGTGAATGACAAGTAATTAATCATACTGATTTTAGATATTAATACGAGAGCAGCAGATATAACTTCAGAGACCTATTATCTTCTAGAAAACCAATTTTTCTTACCCAAAAAAAAGGCTTTTTAATTCGTACGGGTTATAGAGCACATCAATTTGACTGTAAAACACTAGTTTTATTTCGTTTGAAAACCATTATTGAGGTCACCAGTAAGATAATGCTTGCATTTTCCTTTTGATGTTGACAGAAAAAAAAGTCCTTCTTTATTTCTCGTGTTGTCAAAACAATGTGTTCAAAGATAGGCGTCACTCGCACTAAGGATGCGTGGGTGCGGATATGCCTCGTACATTCACAGTCCATCTACTACATCCAGATCCAATCCACGTGATTAGATTAAAAAAAGTGATCAAATAGTGGAAGATTTTTCCTCATCAAACACCCGAGGCATTCAATTTAAGGAAAATTTTGTTTTACAAACTAAAGATATCTTTCAAATGTCTACGTCTTCTCTAAAATCTATTCAATAGCATAGAAACCAGATTTTGAAAAATATACAATAGACGAGATTAGTAGTAATATTTCATCTTTTCTTGAATGTTTTATTTTTATTCTACATAAAATCTATACTTGATAACAAAAAGAAAGATGAGCTCCTCAAATACATATCGAGAGCATGTTTAATATAAACAAAATGCAAACTGATAAAATCAATTTTTCTGTAGTTAGTAGTAAAAATAATATATAACCTAAAGCAACATTGAAGAATTGTTAACACTCATGTTTTATTATTAAGTATACATTAATATTCCATTTCATTAATATTTTTTCACTAAAGTCCAAGCGACATCCTGATAACGAACAATTTTTTTGGGTCAAGTAAGTAGAAATGATCGCAAATTACGATCAAGACAAGATTTACTATGCGAGAAAAAAGGATATAAAAAAAATGATTAATGAAACATAAAAGTATTGAGTAGTTTTTTTAGTTTGATAATCTGAACTAGATTTATGATATCTATTTTTGCATATTTCTATAAGACAATCGTTTTCCAATGTGTAGTTATCTTTGTCTCCTACTTTCCCAATTCCGCTTTTCAGAAACTTTTTTCCCTTCACTTATACATTTCTCATCCACAATTTCTATTCTCATTGCTCTAATTATCATAATCCTTTGTATTTTTCTATATATCGGAAATTCAGATAGATATGTCACATAATAAAAACTTCTATCGGATCATATAAATCTTTCATCATCTTCATATCAAATAAAAAGTCAAGAACAAATATAAATTTCAAGTATATATTTAACAAAAGAAGAAGTACAACAACAATAGTTATAAAAAAAAGTCACATCACTGTTATAAAGTGGAACAAAGTATAACAATAACATTTATGTTCGTCTCATATATAATGCACCAAATGTGAGCATACCTAAAATATAAATGAATATATCATGCTGAGCAAATATAATTAGTTTTGGATAAAGCACTGATATTTTCTACACACGTTTTGTTTGTTATCACGTTATCTCAGTAGGTGGTAGAATCAAGATTCATACATCTTAATTGTTCGTAACAGTATGTTCTCAGGGTAAAAAAGTCATTCTCTTAAAAGCATTGTAATATACTTGCCTATAGTTCCAAGAATACTTGCATAGCGACTAATAGAATTTCGTCGTTGTGAAGTTTTATCATAAATCTTCAAACATCCAGTCTTTACAAAAAAAAATACACATATTAAAATTGAAACAATATTTTATTCGAATTAAAACAAATTTACCCAATAATTTTGACTTTCAAGCCATGTATGAAGATTTATATCAATAAAATTTGTTGTCCAATCAATAATTGATGATATAAAGAAATCCATATTTTGTTGTTGTTGCTGTATAAAATATTCAGCTAGTATAGCTGAAAATGAAATGAATGTTATAATTCGACTCCATGTTATTGTTCCATCATTAAATAATTCAGTTGTTATTTCATAATGAATATTTTGAAGATCGATTATTGATGATGACAAATGAACATTAAATATTGGTTGTTGAGAATAATAAATTGTTTCACAATCATAAGCAAGTTTACGTATAATTATAAATAAACGATTATTTGTTATTGTTTTATTTTTTAAACGCCAGTTGAAATAATCAGTTACGATCGATCGTGTTGTTGGATTATCATTAGAACACATGTCGTTGAATTTATTGCTTCTTTTTGAATTAAATGACAAACGAATAGAATTTACGACTTTATAAAGTCTTATTGTTTATCGCCGTGACGGTCAATGAAGGAGAAAAGTATTGGTTCATAGAGAAAAAAAAACGAGAGAGAGAAACAGAGAGAACAATCTCTCTTTTCCTAGTGATTGTTCAGTCATTGTACTCTCGTCTGTTCTTTTTCCTTCTGTAATCGTCCGTTTTGTGTGCTTTATCATTAGAGAATCATGTTCTTCATGTGTGTATGAATGTTCGACCGCTAACAATGTTCAGCTGCTTCCAATGGCGATTATATCGTATAATTTTTCAAATTACAGATACTTAAAGAAAAATAAGAGAACCATAAATGCCAATTAAAAATAAATCAAAAAGGACATTATGCCGCTAGCAAATATCTGTGATAATTTTCATGCGGAATGTCAAAATGATGAATTTTATTTCAGTTGATTGATGATAAAACTTGTAGATGTTCCATGATTTCATCATCAATAGTCAACAATGCCGCAATTGACTGAAAACTTTTTATCTTATTTTAAACAATATTGATACATCAGTGATAGGAAGAATTCACATAAATGAATTGTGTTTTAAGCGTACCTCACTCCTTCGAATCAATTGTAGGTCTTCGCTATAATACAACCAGTCGCATTCAAATTTTTACCACATTTAGATCATCAAACATGATGGAATTGATGTTTGCGAAATAAACTTGAAGAGTAAATCTTCAGGAATTTTTGAAGGAATCTGCAGAAACCATCAAGTTCGCTTGCGACTTCAGAGTATATATTGAGCAGATATTCCATCACCTAATTACATATCGTATGTAGACGATATAGATGAAATCATGCATAGAACGAATATATTTCATCTGATCAGAATAGTGTTCCTCTTGCAAATGTTAGACTTTAATCAGTGTTATTATCAAGTGAGAATGTAGAAACTATTTGAAAAAAACTCAAAACACTAGATATATACAAATAATATTACATTGAGGACTGAGTATTTTACGACCTTCTATAACTCTTCCACCCTTAACTAGCACCATTATTGTTGTAGTTTATTATTCATCACTTCATTCTTATCATTGTCCGAATTCTTATTAATGATAGAAGGAAATCTAGTCTCAGTGAGTTAAACATTTCACGTTCTATGAATCATATCATTTATATTGTCCATAGACGATTTGTAATAAGGCTGTAGGACACTTACTTAACGAATGCTAAATCTGTCTTCATTTAGTTCGATCGAGTTGAAATTTTTTCGAAAAATATCAATATGGAGTTGGTGATCTTCGTACCCGACAGTGTTTGAAAACTCATGAAGACGTACTTTAAAAATTTTTCTTCAAATATGAACTTCATCGTGTTCGATAATCTAGCTGTGAACCTGACAAGTTTTACTCTCGTGTAGAGCTAGATGTAGTTCAAAAGATGGGGAGATATACTAAAGTTCGTTCGATACAGTGAATAAATTATGAATTTGTTTAGCTATAATTTAATTAAACGTAGGATCTTAATGTATAA